TGTGTGTGTGTGTCCTGTGATGGACTGGCCCTTGTGTGAGTGTGTGTATCTGTGTGTGTCCTGTGATGGACTGGCCCTGGTGTGAGTGTGTGTGTCCTGTGATGGACTGGCCCTGGTGTGAGTGTGTGTGTCCTGTGATGGACTGGACCTGGTGTGAGTGTGTGTGTCCTGTGATGGACTGGACCTGGTGTGAGTGTGTGTATCTGTGTGTGTCCTGTGATGGACTGGCCCTGGTGTGAGTGTGTGTGTCCTGTAATGGACTGGACCTGGTGTGAGTGTGTGTGTCCTGTGATGGACTGGACCTGGAGTGAGTGTGTGTATCTGTGTGTGTCCTGTGATGGACTGGACCTGGTGTGAGTGTGTGTTTCTGTGTGTGTCATGTGATGGACTGGATCTGGTGTGGGTGTGTGTCCTGTGATGGACTGGATCTGGTGTGTGTGTGTGTCCTGTGATGGACTGGTGTCCTGTCCAGGGTGTACCCTGCCTTGTGCCAGATAGTTCCTGACCTGGTGACCCTGAATTGGATAAGTGGCTGTTGACACCAATGTGATATTAATTTATAATTTTTAATCGGTCAAGCGCTCACTGCAAGCAATGCGATGTGATATGATCTTAAGGCATAATCTATTTTCAATCGCAACGGTCGAGCAGTTATTGTGCAAGCGATGTGATGATGTGGAGTGATGTGTCTTCCAGAGAAACACACTGTGTGCTGTATGTTTATAGAGAGAAGGTGATGATAATCTCGTTAGTATTCAAGTTTCTAAAGACATAACTTTTCTACATTGTACTTCACTCTGCATTTGAACACAATGATCTGAATTAATAGTTGTATTTTACACAGATGACATAAATCATTGATCATTGCCCAGAATTACACAACACCAAGACACAGCAACATGGTAAAGCTATCCTTTAGCCTCCTATGTTTGTAATTTTAATAACAGGAGCCACAGATCAAAAACCGGCTTAGGTCTGTGCTCCTTTAAAGCATCCATAGTTCGAATTGCACAAGTTGCACAAGTGCACAAGTTTTATAATTCCAATCCTGACAAGTGTACATACGTAACAATAGATCGTAGGTAACTGAGATAGAAGTGACAAAATTAGATACTACGCTCACCATAACTATTAATATATGAGAGGAATCCTACTCCGTGGGGCCCCTGAGCGAGGCCCTTCACCCCAGCTGCTCCAGGGGTGCTGTATAAATGGCCGACCCTGCGCTCTGACCCCCAGCTTCTCTCTCCCTGTCTGTGTGTCTCATGGAGAGCGAGCTGGGGTCTGAGAAAAGACACATTCCTCATGCGAGACACTGTATCTGGCCAATAAAGTGATCTGATCTATGAATATCTTTGATATATATGAATATAAACGTATATCTTCCATTGACAATAAAATAAATACATATTAATTTCAACTTGAGGTGAGATGGATCAGTTTTTCATCCCACTTGGAAGACAAATTCTATGAACATAAGACATCAGCGAGTGAATAATGACACATCTGGAGTTAAACTTTGGAATCTAGACACCACACACACAGAACACTGTACACACACTGCACAGTCACACACAGAGAATGCACACACAGCACACAGTACACACACAAAACACACACAGAACACTGTACACACTCTGCCCAATCACACAAACAGAGAACAGACAGACAACACAGAGACACACATACAGAACAGACTGACACACAACACCAACACACAACAGACAGACACATAACACGAACACACACAACACCAACACACAACAGACGGACACATAACACGAACACACACAACACCAACACACAACAGACAGACACAGAACACGAACACACACAACACATTACAGACAGACACACAACAGGTACACACACATACACATTACAGACACACAACATGAACACACACAAATTCAGAACAGACAGACATTGACATCAACATGGACACACACAGAACAACCAGAAACACAACATGGACACACACAGACAACATGTCAGCCTTTCTCAATCTCCATCCATGGGTTATGCATTCCCTGGGCTTCTATGCCAACGATTAGCATAATAAATACAGTAAAAAGAGGAGTAATTGACCAGCCAGTCACCCAGCCTTTAGCCCAGAGAAGATGCCTTTTATGGAGGTGTTGGGGCTCGATGCAGCTGCATCTAGGTTACTGGGAGCTGCCTCTTCTAAGCAAGTTCCTCATTCCCCACTGTATAAATACAGGGGTTCGAATTAGGGTTGCACAGAGACTCAGGCTGCAGAGAGGCGCAGGTGCAGAGAGTCACACAGAAGGTTCTGAGGGCTGACAAGGTGAGAATTGAATTTGTATCCATTAATGAACTATCCAGTACAGGGTAGCAAGGAACTGCAGCCTATCCCAGCAAGCAACAGGTGCAAGGTGGCAGTAGTAACATTAGCAATAGTATTTCTAGTAGTAGCAGTCGCAGTAGTAGTAGCAGCAGCAACTGCAGTAGTAGTAGTAGCTGTAGAAGGAGCAGTAGGATAGTATTAGCAGTAGTAGTAATAATAGCAGTAGAAACAGTAGCAGTAGTGAGTGTAGAAGTAGCTGTAGCAGTAGTAACAGTAGCAGTAGTGAGTGTAGAAGTAGCTGTAGCAGTAGTAACAGTAGCAGTAGTAGTAACAGCAGTAACAGCAGTAGAAACAGTAGCAGTAGCAGTAGAAGCAGCAGCAGCACTAGCAGTAGAATAGAATTAGCAGTAGCAGTAGCTGTAGCAGTACCAGCAGCAGTAGTAATAGTAGCAGTAGTAACTGTAGAAATAGCTGTAGCAGTAGTAACTGTAGCAGTAGTAATAGAAAGTAGCAGTAGTAGCTGTAGCAGTAGTAACTGTAGCAGTA